GGGGGACACAGGGTACAAATGCAATTTGTGGTAATGGATATGCTGCCAGTATGAATCTGGCCCTCAAATCATGGGCACAGGGGTGACAATCAGCTTGGTATCTCATGAATATGCATAACCAATTAAAAATAAGTAAATAAATAAACTTTTACAAAATTAAAATTAAAAAGAGAAAATATTAATTCTTGTTTTATAGGATTATTTTAAGGCTTAACTGGATGGTTTTTATAAAAATTCACTGTAAACTGTAAATGCACCCCACACTTGTCCTCCTGTTTTGTCTAATTTCTTTTCCTTTACTTTCGATGTCTTTCCTTGCCTTTCTTAGTACTCTACACTCCTGCTATCTTTGTCACTTGCTCTTCTTTATCTGATGACAGTAAATAGAATCTGATCATTTACCAGTGAAGTTACCCCCATTCAGTCCTCACTCCCATAGACCGCATTTTCTTCTAAGGATATTTGCTGGTCCTGCTGTCTGAATCACAGTAAACATTATCCTTTCATTAATAGGATCAATGATGGATTTTATCCTTCTGAATATACTAGGAGCAAGCAGTGGAATTTGCTGGCTTGGGTTATGAATGTATGGTCATTTTCCCCCTTTCCATGATAACATGTAACTTCTATGCTGGTAAAGAACAACAGGCTGGTTACAGAGTTAATCCTGGTAGGCATCCCACACACACAGGGGCAGGACAGGGTGCTCTTTGTTGGGTTCTTGATCTTCTGTCTCTGAACTCTGCTCATTCTTTTAGCTGTGATGTCTGTCCCACCTCCACATGCCTATGCGTTTCTTTCTTTTTAATCTCTCCATGCTGGACATCGGTTTCTTTTATATGAGCACTCCAAAGATGCTGGCCAGCTTGCTGGTGAGGAACTGAATCATCTTACTGGGTGGTTGCATGTCCCAGGTCTTTTTTATTTACCACTTCCTGGGCTGCATGAGGGGCCTGGTCTACGCAGTAACAACCTATGACTAGTTTGTTGCCATCTGCCACTTACTGCTTTACAAAACTTCTGCACAAGAAGGAAACAATCAACAGAGTGAAACAACAACTTACAGAGTAGGAGAAATTTTTGCTAACTATACATCTGACAAGGGATTAATATTCAGGATATACAAGGAACTCAAGCCATTACACAGTAAAAAAACAAATAGCCGAATTAAAAATGGGCAAAGGAACTGAATAGACATTTTTCAAAGGAAGACATACAAATGACTAACAGCTATATGAAAAAATGCTCAACATAACTAATTGTCAGGGAAATGCAAATTAAAACCACATTGAGATATCATCTCACCCCAGTTAGATTGGCTATAAGCAAAAAGACAGAAAATAACAAATGCTGGTGAGGATGTGGAAAAAAAGGAACGCTCCTACACTGTTGGTGGGACTGTAAATTAGTACAACCACTGTGGAAAACAGTATGGAGGTTTCTCAAACAACTACAGATATGTCTTCCATACGATCCAGCAATCCCACTTCTGGACATACACGCAAAGGAACAGAAATCATCATGTTGAAGGGATACCTGCACTCCCATGTTCATTGCAGCTCTTTTTACAATAGCTAAGACATGGAATCAACTTAAATGTCATTCGGTGGATGATTGGATAAGGAAACTGTGGTATATATACACCATGGAATTCTATTTGCCGTAAAAAAGAATGTAATACTCCCATTTTCAACAACATGGGTGAGCCTGGAGAAACTTACGCTGAGTGAAATAAGCAAAGCACAGAGGGGTAAATACCACATGTGCTCACTCATATGTGGGAGCTAAGAGAGAAAGAAGGAAGGAAAGAAAGACCACATTAGTGAGTTAGACTTGCAGAGGGAGAGAACATTCCTTGGGCTACACAGTAGAATGTGGGGGAAAATGGGGAGAGAGAGGGAGGTTGGGGATAATTGGGTGGGGGACACAGGGTACAAATGCAATTTGTGGTAATGGATATGCTGCCAGTATGAATCTGGCCCTCACATCATGGGCACAAGGGGTGACAATCAGCTTGGTATCTCATGAATATGCATAACCAATTAAAAATAAGTAAATAAATAAACTTTTAAAAAATTAAAATTAAAAAAGAAAATATTAATACCTGTTTTATAGGATTATTTTAAGGCTTAACTGGATGGTTTTTATAAAAATTCACTGTAAACTGTAAATGCACCCCACACTTGTCCTCCTGTTTTTTCTAATTTCTTTTCCTTTACTTTCGATGTCTTTCCTTGCCTTTCTTAGTACTCTACACTTCTGCTATCTTTGTCACTTGCTCTTCTTTATCTGATGACAGTCTTTTAAGGCTAAGCCGATAATGGGTTAAGAGTAGACCTTGATGTGGGCTGGATTCCATCAGGCCACAAGTTAAATTATGCATCAGGGATAGGTGGTGAAGGGGCGGTTGTTGAGGAACACAGTGAGCACTTTCTAAGAACTCTGCAGTGCCCCCAACAAGTGCACCGTTGAGAGCTGTTCCTTACAGAAGATTCATTTGGGTCGTTAACTTGCTAATGCCATTTGGAAATCACAACAAATGTTGGAGCAGGCAACTTGGAACATCTTTTTAACAAAATTACCAAACTTCATCACAAGATGTAATTATTTTATCTCAGCTTGGAGGGCTCCTATTCACAGTGAATCTCTGCCAGCTTCCTTTAGCCTGACTGCTCTGTGATAAATGAAATAATGTGTGACGCGCATGTGCATAGGAGTCCTATGGCTTATTCAGTGGTGAGGCCAGGCCCTCTGATGGCTGAGAGGTTATTCACTCATTCCACAGACATTTATTGAGCCCTCCTAAGTCTCGGGCACAGTCTAAGTGTCATTACACCTGGGGCATTGCCTTTAAGTCTGAGATTGCACTTCACAGACGGCATTGACAAACTAGAATAGTGAAATGTCAGGAATTCATAAGAATGTGTATATGAGGAATGGTTGCTGGAAATTAAACTATTTAGATAAAGAGAAGGCAGATATAATCAATGATCCCAAATTTGTAAAGGGATGCTAAATTTAAAAGGGGTTAGATTTATTTGGCAGATGGCAAAGAGTAAAACAAGGAACATTTGCTAGAAAATTTAAGGTGGTAGGCCGTAATGCAGGAGGATTAGTAGCAATGGAATAGTCCACTTTGAAAGGGTGTCCTTCCTGTCTTTGGAAGTGTGGAAGTGGATTCCGTGTGCTGCAGAGGATATTCTGAATTGTGCAGGGCAGCATTATCAAATCAGGGGTTTAAAAACACCCAGGGATTCCAAAAATCATCCCAACACTTCATGATTAGTAAAAACTAGCAATGGTGCATTCTTTAAACACTTCATGATTAGTAAAGACTAGCAATGGTGCATTCCTTTCCACATAATTTTGAAAAGCAAAAAAAGTCAAGGAAATTACTTTAGTACATTTTCCTCTAAATAAAACTTGTAGTTTCAACAAGTGCATTTGAGACTATAGAATGATATGCTCATGTTTTAGTCACTGATTGGCTGCTAATGTGCAATAATATGCTAAACTTTGCAGCTTTTAATTGTGTTTCTTGCTAACCATTTATATACAATTTCTACTCATATTGGAGTAATGGTTAAAAAAAAGGAAGTATGAGGAAAAATGATATTGAGATTATACTTAATGAAGAGAATAAGTACTGTGGCATTATTAATACATTTTTGGCTCATATTGAGCTTAAGAACTTCTATTCAACTCATTCTGGTATTTCAAATTGATGTTAAAATAGAGAGAAAATTATATTTAACATATATTTCTTTTTCTGAGGATATAGAACATGTAACTGGCTATAAAAAAAAATTGGGGAATGATTACAAATAGAATCCTGAATTGTTCACTTTTTAATATTACTAATTTTTTTTTTTTAACTATGATGTGCTACAATTCTAAACAATAGGTTTTGAATACTGGATTTTTTCATTTGTACATCTTAATATATAATAAAATTCAAAATTTGTATTTTAATATATATGTGGTGAAGAAATCATGACTTCATTCAGCATTTTAGAAATTGTATTAATAAATTATGTATTTATTATAATTAATTCAAGATAAATTAAATTAGGTGCATTTTTTATTGATCAGGAATACATATTTTTTTGCATTTTATTTATATTATGGTATTTAGAATAAACTTAATAATGTACTTTTAATTTATTACAACTGGATTTTAAACACTGCTTTTTATTTTAAAGTATTTTTAAAAATATTTCATGAATTTTTATAATATTATAAAATTTAAAGAATATAAATAAACACTTGTGTGCCTTGCAGCCAGTGCAGGAAATATAGTTTAATGAAGGCATTCCCTCTGTGTAGTACTTTTCTTGGCCCCATTCTTTCACAGGTTATCAGCAACTGATGGGGTTTGGGTATTTTTGTCTCCCCAAAGTTCTTGTGGAAATCTGACCCTCAATGTGGCAGTGTTGGGAGCTGTTTGCGTCATTGGGGTGGATACCTCATGAATAGGTTAACCATGGAGGTGGATACCGCGTGAATAGGTTAATACCATGGTGGGGGTAGTGAGTCATTTCTCGCTCTTTTAGTTCCCACAAGAGCTGGTTGTTTAAAAGGACCTTGGCACCTCCCCTCTCTCTCTCTCTCTTGCTTCCTCTCTCCATGTGATCTTCTTGCACCCACGAGCTGCCCTGCCTTTCCCCCCCATAAGTAGAAGCAGCCTGAGGCTCACACCAGATGCAGCTGTCCCAGAATCGTGAGCCAAATAAACCTCTTTTCTTTATAAATTACACCATCTCAGGCATTTGGTTATAGCAACACAAAAATGGACTAATACAGCAACTGATTCTTTTTAAGGAAATATCTTTCTTTTCTTTGTGAGTTTGCCACCTATGTATGCATCCCTCAACAATATATTACTTAGTTTTTTTTCTGGTTTTGCAATTTGTTTATATGGACTCAGACATGATTCCCTTTGTTCTCCCAAAATTCACTTTTGAGATTCTTCAATTGTGGTCTATGTAACTATAATTTTACACCCTATTTTATGTATTTATTTACTCTATTTTTGTCAGACATGTGGGTGATTTCTACTCATTTTTATTCACGTCTCTGAGGCACAGGTTCAAGAGGTTCTCTAGAAGCTGCATTAGGAGTGGAATGCCAATCAGCCTTCTGCAATAAAATGATTGTAGCAAACACATTCACACCCTCAGTGAATGAGAGTTAGTGGCACACCTCACTCTCAGCAACACTTTATGTCAACAACCTTCTTAATATTTGCCAACCTGATGATGTGAAATGATATCCACTGCGTTTTTTAAAATTATAATTCCTCACTGCTAATAAAGTTAAGCATCTTCTAATATGATTAAGAACACTTTGGTTTTCTTCCTTTGGAAAATTTATGTTATTTTTTTTCAGTTCAGTTTTCTTTTGATTGTTTTCACTTTTGTAAAATTGATTCATAGCAGTTCTGTATGTATTCTGGATACTAATCTTCTGCTAGTAATATGTATTGCAACTATCCTTTCCTAGTTTGCAGATTCACTCTTTATTAGCTTCGAGGTATTCTTTTGGTAAAATAAATGACTTCTTTTTAAAAATATTTTACTTTATTTTTTAATTGACATAAAATAGCTGTACATATATATGGGGCACAATGTGGTATTTGGATACAATGGGCAATCACCCAGTCAAGGTAATTAGCATATCCATCACCTTAAACATTTGTCATTTCTTTGGGGACA